ACCATCTAAAGCGACTCATGAGTAACATGTACATAAGAACTTATTTTTATGAAGTATGCATTTTATGAGAAAGGTAATACATGATACTTATACAAATACGTTTTCAAAGAGATGAGTTTTTAGTTTCTTTTTAAATAAGACGATATCGGTTAGTGTTCTCAATTGATAAGGAAGCTTATTCCAAACAGAGGGTCCGCAGTAGCTGAAACTTCTCTCAGTTTTACTATAGTTTGAAATAGGAGGAACATTTAGGAGGAAATAGTCTTCTTCAGTTCTTAGTACACGTACAGGTTGACTTTTGATGTCAATACATTTGATGATATACTCCGGCGCTATGTTGTTAACGCATTTGAACACGGTTAGAGCAATCTTATACTCTATTCGTTGTCGTATCGGAAGAAAATGGGCTTTTTTCAGGAATGGAGTGACACTGTCCCATTTTTTGATAGCTTTCCAACCAAACAAGAATCGAACACAGGAATTTTGTACCTTCTGGAGTTTCTTTATTAGAAGATCAGGTAAACCGTATAAGAGTCCATTGCAGTAGTCTAGTTTTGAAAAGATCAAGCAGTGAATGAGCTGTCTTTTTAGATCATAGTTAAGCTTTGAGCCTATAACTCGAAGGTTTCTCAGATGGATGTTGCAGCAACTGATAATTGAATTTATTTGGTCTTCAAATGTTAGGAATTGATCAAATAGGACACCTAAACTTTTCACTGTGCGGGATGCATCCACAGGGTCAGCTGCATTGTCAAGTTGTATTGAATCGACTGGACATGAAGAGTAACTGTTCTTGGTCTGTACTACAAGAGCTTCTGTTTTGTTTTGGTTCAGTTTGAGTTTATTTTGGGTCATCCAGGTCTTAATATCTTCAAAACAATTTGTTATTCTCTCTTCGATTGTTGAGAGATCTCGAAATAGTGGGTTAAACTCAATGTACAGTTGAGTGTCATCTGCGTACATGTGGATGTTAAATCCATGTCTCTTTGCGATCTGATTGAGCTCCTTTGTGTAAAGTATAAACAGAATTGGACCTAGAATTGAACCTTGCGGGACTCCAATTCTAAGGAAGCATCTCTTTGATCTTGATTTATCAATAGTTACTGTGAAGGATCTGTTATTAAGGTATGATGTAAACCATTCGAGAACAGTACCTTCAAAACCAAAGTCCTTTTTTAGTTTTTTTAGGAGCAAGTGATGATTTACAGTATCAAAAGCAGCACTGAGGTCCAAAAGGAGGAGGATAACCTTACTTTTCATGTCACTGATACAAAGAAGATCATTGTAGATGGTAAGGGTCGCAGTTTCGCAGCTATGATTTGACCTATAACCACTTTGATGCTCAGCATGAAGATTGTGATAGTCAAGATGTTTGGTCATCTGTTTCTGGACGCTCTTTTCAATGAGTTTCGAGAGGAAAGGTAAGTTACTAATCGGTCTATAGTTGTTGAAGCTATTGACATCTCCTTTATCATCTTTGATGGCTGGTCTGACAAGAGCACTCTTTAGGACTGACGGAAATTTTCCAGTGACAAGTGAGTCATTGATAATAAATGACACAATTGGTTTAACTTCATTAAAACACTGCATTAGAAGTTTTAGAGGGATGGGATCCTCTTCACATTCTTTTTTGTTAATGTCAGAAAGAATCTTTTTGAGATCATTGTCGCTTATGGTTTCAAATTGGCTCCAGGCTTCACCTTGAAATGGTTCAGAGTGGTCAAGAAGAATGTCAGCTGCAGTATCATTGTTAATGGCAGATGCAGAGTAGATCTTTTCCACTTTATCATTGAAAAACTCTTCCATCTCCTCACATAGAGTTTCAGCAGGTTTGTTATTAGGCTTCAAGTTTTTAGATATGTCCCGATCCATCAGCTGATTGACTATTTTGTAGGTATCTTTTTTATTGTCCTCACAGCTTTGCAGACGATTTTCATAGTATAGCTGTCTAGTGGTGTTTATAACTGCCTCGGCATGCTTAACAGCTTTTTTATAGTCTAATTTTGAATCTGCAGTTTTAAGTCTCCTGTTGTCACGTTCAGCTTTTCTTCGTTTCCTTCTGGCAGTTTGACATTTTGTGTCCACCCACTTGCTTTGATCAGGATTAATGCTAAAACAGATAAGGGGAGCATGTTTATCAAGAATTCTGCGAAGTTCTTTGTTATAGAGTTCCGTGGCAGAGTTGCAGTCAATAAACTTGTTGGGGTCATTTATGTCAGATAGCAACAGATCCTCCTTAAAAAGATTTATGTCTATATCTGATATCTTTCTGCCCACCATATCTTCTTTGTTGCTTCCTTTGTGGTGAGGAAAGGCAATAGAGAAATTTACGAAGTAGTGATCTGATGTTGTTACTGTTTTAGCTACATCTATATTTTTTATGTTCAACATATCACACGCATTGCTTCTAGTAAGAACAAGGTCTAAGATTCCACCCCCAATGTGTGTTGAACTGGAAATATGCTGGATGAGGCCATAGTTTGATATGAGATGGATAAAATTTATCGTATCAGGATCAGTGAGGTCTTCGACATGGATATTGAAGTCTCCAGCAATGATCAGTCTACCTGGAAGGTGAGTTAGACTGTCAAGATATTCATCAAATTCCCGTAAAAAGTCTGTCATTTTGGACATTTTAGCCGTACAAGATCGATAGACACAGCAGAAACGAAGAAGGTCATTGGAACTTGACTTCAGCACACTCTCAACATGTTCAAAGGATTTATGGGTCTTTGTAGGGCGTTTATTGAAGCTAAGATCTTTCTTAGGCAATAGCGACACCACCTCCTCTACCAGCTCTAGATTGGTGAACAATATTATAGCCTAGGTCTTTAATTTCCGCTATTTTTGACGTATCTCCCTTACGTAGCCAAGTTTCTGTCAGGAAACAGGCATTGATATTGGAGTCAGACAGTTGCTCAAATACTTGTGCAGTTTTATTACATAGTGACCTCGTGTTAAACAGTCCGACATTTAGGTTGAGAAGCGTAGTCTTCACATGTTTTTTGAGTACTCTGTTCTTTGTCTAAGACTCTCTTTCTCCAGCATTATTATGGGACAGTTTTCAGCACCAGAGTGATGGGTGTTACAAGATTCTCTGTATGATTCATAGGTGGAGTGTGAGCAGTTGGTGCATCTGTGACTTCTTCTGACCTCTTTGTAGGGACAAGCCCGTGTTATGTGTGATGCACTACAATACATGCAAATAACATCAGTTTCGTTGCACTGAGATGAAATGTGTCCCAGTTTCTGACATCGGAAGCACTGCTTAAGATCAAATCTATCAACTACTTTACATCTGGAATTTCCTATGTAAATGGACTGATTGTTTAACAGGAAATGCCTTATGTCAGGAGACACTTTAATCCCAACAGTAGTGTAGTCTCTTCCATAATTGACATACACAACTTTAAATGTTCTATCATGCTTAGTCACCAAATCTTTAACATATAGATTCTTTTCCAGAAGCTTCAATTCCATAAAGGTTTTAACCTTTTCTCGAAATTCAGGAACTGATAGATTTTCAGAGACAATGTGGGAGATTAAGTTGTTTGGGATATTCGTAACTGTGACTTTCGGGAACATTTTCTTTGCATCATTAACAGTGATTTTGGACGAAGTTACAGCTGATGAGTTTGCGAGGGCTATTTTCCCATCCTCTCTATCTTTTTCTGAAGGGAAGGAGATAACAATTTTGCCTGTCTTTGGTTTAGGGGTCAAGAAGATCATGGGTATTGTACCAAGGGCTTTACTAGCTAGCTTCCCTGCTTCCTCAAGATTAGTATTACTAGCTTCTACATTGAGGACGATAACATGATTATCAGGAGAATTATTATGGATAATGCCAGAGGGAAGTTTTTGCATAGGAGTTTCCTTCTTGGTTAGTTCTATGTAGTTCTCAGTAGCAGTACTAGTGGAGCTATCTATAGCCGATTCAGGAGACAACGCAGCACTGTAGCTCTTTGAAGATGAAAGTGAACTGGTAGTCTTCATTGGGGAAGCAATTAAAGAACTATGTGTTTGCAGGGCTAGGGCTGATGCACTACTAGGGATAGATGATGCACTACTAGGGGTGCTGGATCTTCGTGTAAGATTTGGTACTTCTGTGAGCAAAGAATCTATGTGTGATTTAAGTTTGATGGAAATAAGTTCTTCTACACTTGACAGTAAACTTACTTTAAAATTGCTCAAAGTTTCAATCAATGCCTTCTCATCTCCATTGCTTGAAGTTGTATCAGTAGTGGTAGTAGTCCCACTTTCAGTGCTAGCCACACTTTCAGTGCTAGCCACACTCTTGGTGCTAGCCACACTCTTGGTGCTGTCCATGCTTGTATTGCAAGTTGAGTCCGCAGTTTTAACAGCAGTTTTTGCAAGGAGAGCTTTCTTACAGTTAGGACATGTCCAGCCAAAGTCACCATATCTTTGAGAATATGTATTACCGTGTTTGTGAATTACTGGCAAAATATTCGTCAGGAAAGTCCGTGAACAAATAGACGTGGGCATAAGTGTGCCAGCCTTATCCTTACAACATGCGTGGAAAAAGTCTTTACATATCTGACAAGAAATGGACTCATAGGCCATGTTATCACTTTTACACCGACAACACAGCCCTTTGAGGTTAAACTTGGGGACTGTTTTTGGGTTAATGGCACTTTTCTTTAGGGGGGCTTTAGAATCTTTAGAAAAATCTTTAGAAAAATCTTTAGAAACATCTTTAGAAACATCTTTAGAAACATCTTTAGAAACATCTTTAATCTTTAGTATAGGTTTTTTTATTTTAACAGTACCTTTTTCTGAGGGCTTCTTTATCTTTTTCTCTGCTTCTTCACTGCTGGGCGTTTGGCCTGCAGCCTTGTCATTTTTCATAGCTTTGAGGCTCGGGATCATACCTCAATAAATGTATAACATGTATAACATACCTTTATAACATGACGTATAACATACCTTTAAAGTATGCATATTGCATAACATAGATAACATGTACAACATGTATAACATACCTTTAATTCCGCGCATACCACCGTACATCATATCCACTGTCACCTCCCCTACCACCTTGTTTCCAGATACCTTCCTGAACTCTTTTATCTGGGACTGCTTTTTGGGGATCAGCTCTTCTAGCTTCTCTTTTAGTCCCTGTCATAAACTTGTGGTAATATTTCATGGTACTTTAGTTTCCTTCAATAAGCCTAATTTGCAGTATAGAAACTCGTAATTTATCCTACTCAGTGATTTTAACGACTGAGTGCACCTGCAAGTACAAGTGTAAACAGATACGTGCACCAAGATAGGCAGTCACCCTGAAAAGCGCCCAACAGACTCATTACCTGAGCTGATAGCGTCCTGTTAACGTTCACTCTAATAACTGTGTTAGACAAGACGAGTCTTACTAATCAAATTTCGTCATCATTACATCCACGTTTAACAGTTCGAGTATAGATGAGCGTCGAATAGTGTCAATAGCGCTTGGCATGTTTATGCTCATGCGATGGTACTCTCACTTCTTCCTAGATGGACTACAGATAGTAACATGCGTTGACACCATACAATATCTGCACATGACCTGTATAAGCACATTATAGCAAGATCAGAGAGACAAGATCTTTCTAACTGCGTTTAACAGGGTGAGGGGTCGTAGGTTCATCAAGATTCAAGGGTCCGACAGGCTTTTTAGGCTTCTGGAGGGGTGTTATGTTAGCCTGTCCAATAGGGTCAGGTAGGAGTTGGTCTCAAAACAGCTGCTTATAATGTTTCATGAAAAACTGGACGATGCAATGTGTGGATACCGTATCCCCGACACTCCGAATGAGGACCTAGAGCAGCTACTTGGTTCTATCAAATGTTGCCAAGGAATATTAATTAATAGTAATTATCTAATTAATAGTAATTAACTAATTAATAATAATTAACTAACGCAAGTTGAAGCAGATCGTGTCATTTTGAGCATGTTATTCTGATTCGATCCCAACACTGAAGAGCATTTTCTGAGAAGGGTGGCACTCATTTCTCTGGGGACCTAGTTTTTAGTTGCTTTATTAGTAAATCAGTAATATTATTATTTAATAAATTAGAAGTTAGTAATTAGTAATTTAATTAGTAATAAGTAATTAGTAACTAAGTAATATAACCGATAAGTCAGGTTTAGAAATGGCACCGCGGTAAATTTGTAGATTTAGTTCATGACAAGGAGAAGTGTTTGAAATAAGGTGGAAATATTGGCAGTATGAGGATTGAGGGTCGTACAATCTTGAACTACACAAAGTCACACGAATAAAAGAAAATGGTATTAAAATATTGTAAATTCACAATAAAAATTATAGATAAATATTAAATACTTTCATTCCCATGTTTGGGAAGTGAAAGAGATCAGACGTATAATGAACTTTCAAAATAATAATAAAATTATACAGCATAAAAGTCATAGCTCAATAAAAACATATTTCATCCAGGATTCTGATATTATGATCAGTGATGTTGTGTAACCGGGGTAACGTAATTATTCGTTACATTTAGAATATTACCAGTTAAGTTATATAATATAAATAACTTCGTACTCAGCATTTCATACATTCATTCAGGTAACAGGGCCTGAACTTTAAATAAGAAGGTCAATGACAATGTTTGTCCATCAGAGTTTGGTAATAAGTAATCTGTAGTCCATTCTGATTTCTGCCGGCTCTTACCCTTGGACTTGGGACTACAACTTTCAAAGTGCCACTTTGGTCTTACTTAGCCTGAGTTAGCCTCTCAATAACCCACGTGACTCAAATTACTGACTTAGTTGACTTAACAACTTCACATCGCTATCAACATCTCCTTTTGAGTGTGAACTTTCCTTTCTGCAGTTGTGGTATTGTGATCTTTATTTTTGATAGATCTGTAACTTTCTTTACTACTATGTCACTGAAATAAAGCAAACAATTTTGTACAACTGAACAGAGGAAATCTACAAAATATGTAACAGAACAAGCGAAGATACAACTACGATTCAACGATTTAAACGACCAAGACGTTTATTTCTATGAGAAATTCACACAGTTAAAACAGCAAATCAAACCAAAATGTTACCTCATACAAATGGACTGGATGACTGCTGGTATTTTGCCAAATTCTCTACATTCCACAAACACGTTCTGGTACCTCCCGTACCATTTCTTGTCGTAATACAATCTTCCGTCCTCAATCTGTAATTGTTAAATGTTACTTCCAAATTCAATCAAATTTTCGTATCTCTTTCGTATCTTTATCTGTTTATCGTATCTAGAATTTTCTGCTACAACAATGTATTACAATTACACAAGACCGAAGTATCTACAATAAGGCAACAACATGATTTATGACTGTTAGGGGATTATTAATGAAACTCAACACTATCAGACTGCAGCCGGAGTGAGAAAACACTAGTAAAATGGAAAACACTAGTAAAATCTATTTCGGCTAAACCAAAACACGGCGGTTAAACCATGTAATGGTGCCGAAATGTGTCAATAGTACAGTGATATTTTTAGTCACTGTAGCATGAAGGAATCGCTAAATTTTCACTTCGAATTTCTGTTGTGACGTGTAAGCGTTAAAAATTATACGTTAAAAAATATATACGTTAAAAATTAGACACCCAGTAATGTGTGTATTCAGTATTGGGATTAACACATCGCTGCGTTTATACTGTTGTGACGTCAACCTGGAATGTAATGAAATTTTAGCTCTACTTTCTGCTGTGACGTCACACCGCTGTTGTGACGTCACACCACGTACCTTAATGTCATTAACAGTCCTGTCTCTCTCGGTGTCCTCACTAAAGCTGGTCTGTATTGCTCTTTTCTCTCGGATCTTATCTGCTTTGTGGGGCGGCAGCACCTGTACAAAGTATTTTTAATGATTTTTATCATAATAAGTTACAAATAGTTGCGTAAACGAACGAGTTGCATCGAATGGTATGATATCAACATTTAACAGTTGTCCAATTGTTGTATATCGTACAACAATTTGACAAAGTTAACTATGTAATCAACTGTGTAATTAACTGTGCAATTAACTGTTTAATTAACTATGTACATTGTACATGCAACTGTAAAGTGTGTTAAATATTGCACACACAATATTCCCGCATGGCAAGTACACAATACGCTTTAACACACTAAGCACAATTTGTTAAAACAACCGCACAAACAAAACTAATATCTATTCCAGAAGAAACGAGCTCTTTTAAAACATGCTAGATCGTAGTAACCTGTAGGAGGTCCTCCTCTATTTCCTGCTCGGTTAAAGAGTACGAGATAACGGGGGACGGGGGCTTGTTCTGCTTGTTATCTTCTTTTTCCTGTGAGATTAAACTTTATTTACTAATAAATAGATAAATTTATTAATGTATTTTATCTACAAGGAGACCTAAAAAGGTGACCATGTGGGTAAGTGACTTTTGAAATTAATTAATTAATTAAAATGAAACTTGACAAGTCTCAAAAAATCTATGGGCGAGAGTCACAACGTGACAAAAGTGACAAAATCACAAAATATTCCCAACTTACGGGATCATTTTGTCGGCGTCTCAGTTTCCTTGTAAAAGATGGTCTGTTATCTAAACTATCTAAAGGAGCTCCAGTCAGCTCTACCACACTGTGTTCTGTCTCTATCTGTTTCTTCTTTTCTTCCAAGCCTGGAAATTAATTAATTAATTAATCAGCCACTTATGATTATCTCATTAAGTTGCATACGGAACAAATACATGTACATAATTAGAGATATCCATACTAAGTCTCGCTTGAATGACTTAAATGCTTAACAAATATCGGAATTTATTTATAATTTTATTTATTAATTTTATTTATTTATAATTATTGCTAAAATACTTGCTAACAGATTGTCTTTCAGGTTCAATTTCTTTGCCTCATATTCTTCCCTCAATCGCTGATTCTCAGCGATGAACTTGTCTTCTGCCTGCAATTATGTGAGTAATAAGTATATAATATAATTAATTCCGAGATGACATGATGATTTACTGTACAGTGTACTAGAAGTAGAAAAAAAAATTGAAAATAAATCATGGTCTATCTTTAAACTATTCAAACAAATTTTTCCTCTTCACAAACATACCATTTGAAGATCCAACTCTTTTTCAACTTGACATCGGTGCATTCGTTCCTCATAGAGTTGCTCTATTTTAGCCAGCCTGCGAGGGATTTAAATTATAAACATTTACGTTTTTAAACGAAAAATCGCCCAATTTGGCAGTAATGTACCATATATCCCGGTAAATTTATTAAAATTTTAAGGACACAAAATCTCCAGGGTGAAAAACAAGTCAGTCCGGTATAATGCATACTAATAAATTGAATTGTAACCATATTGCATGCACACAAATCCTAATAGCTTGATATAATATGTATTAATTAACTGTATTAATTAACTGCTGAGGTATAATTACTTTGATAGGTATCCCGGCAGAGTTCCACTTTGCAGCTGTCTCAGTAGGTCCCTCAAATTATGAACCTTCTCGTGAACTGCGTTACACCGCTCTGTCTCTATGTTAGCACTGTCTTCTGTCTTGATTTGATCTACAAAATAATGTTGGCAAATTATTCATTCTTTTGTGATTGATATCCTAATGATATATATATATTTATTATGCATTTGCAAAATGATTGAAATGAGGACAAGATCAAGAGCTTCATATAATAGGCACTGATTACAACGATTGATTCGTTAGTAACAGTTGACTATCAATCGATCTTGAACATATTTACCTGTTTCACTAGCATCCTCTGTATCTTCTGAACTATCCACCCCAAAGTCAAGACTATCGTCGGAGTACAATTCACCCATTGCCACTACCATACCTAGCAATATCTCTTGTCATGGGAATTGTATAATGGCTTGTATTTGGTTTTGTAGAATGATCATACTTAGATTTGGGACATTAGCAACCAGTTCTTAGCTAGTTGGTATAGTGAATAATGTATCAAAAAAATAAATATTTGGTAAGGATATCAGATTTAAATTTTATGATAAGACATGGGAAACTTTATATGGCTAGATCTCATCATCAATTCATAAACCAAAACAATGGATTTATTCTTTTACAATAACAACAACAGATCGAACCTTTATAGAAATTAGAACAATTTGTAACTTCAAAAACTTGAATAAATTAGGAGTCATGAACTGTATAAACCTTTCTCAAATCATTAATATTTGTATATCAGTTTTTTTTACTTAGTTCCATGAATTAACAGGTACTCTACAAAGCCCTAGATTCAATATCGGCTTCAATCCTTGCTCTAAGCTCAGGTTTGTCTGCCAGATACTCCGAAACTGTCATGTCTTCTAATGGTTTCTCTGCGTGAAGACCAGCAAGACTTGCCTCGAACTTAGCAATGCGTGTCTCAGCTCCTGCCAAATATTCAGCCATTTCCTTCTTGAAGTTGGCTTCAGCAGCTCCAATACCAGCGGACTGTGTATCCTCTGGCTTAGGGATGGTCACAGCAGCATATTTAGCTTTAAAATCTTCAACTAGAGCAGGATCAGCAACTCGAGAGGAATAGTAACTCCAGTCAATATCCACCAGAGCACTTGGCAAAGCAGTCACTGATGCATGAGAAGATTCAAACTTTGAACGTAAACCACCGAAATCAGCACGGACTGCCTTGGGGAGCTGGCCAGTGATTTTGATGAAATCGAACACTTTGCGTCCTGCCATAATACCTGCAACAATTTTCAGTGAAACACAAATTTCTATCAGAAAAGTTTGTCAAATTCCGAAAATGCTCAGCAAGGAACCGAACCCCTATCAAGATTCTAAAAAAAGTGCGATGAGATTGGATTTTGAGACTAAAAGTGCGATTTCCCCCCCCCCCCCCCCCCCCCCCAGCCTGCAAAATTTCTTGCCCCACAAATTACTTTGTATTTAAAAAGATTTCCCTTTCAAGCGAAATTGTAAGTATGTCGCTTGATGTTTATTTCTCAGAATTGTAAGTATGCCGCTGTAATTTGGATCCATACATAACGAAAAATTTACGTGTGTATTTTTATAAAGTATATAATGTTACATATTGTAAATCTGATAAGCCTCACGTAGCGCCCCAGTTTAGGGCACGGCCGTTAAGCAGCTAATTCTGGGTTCGAATCTCGTCGACGGCCATTTTTTTGGCAATTATTAATTATTTTACTAAAATTATCATCAGAGCACCTTGTAATATACTTTATCTGATAAATTATACAGTTCGTACTTCAGCTAGAGAAGACTGGCATTTAAGGATTTGTCCGGGGAAGGCCTCGTTCATACTGGAACATATCAAATTATGGTAAACGGAGTTATAATCTGGTAATATTTGTTTTGTTTATGGCTAGAATTTAGAATGGAATCAATGTGATGAGGATCCAGAGTTAATTACCTGCTAGGATTAATAAGTCAGGTCTACAGTTGAAGAGACCCTTTTTCAAACTTTTAATGAAGAAATATCCACTGTGCCTATGGCAGTGTCAAGTATATTCTGAGAAAGATGGAGTCGACTGTAGCCAGGAATAGCACCTTGAGATTTCGACCATTACCGGACCTCCTTTAATGGTAACCATGGTAACTATTATATAGTAACCACTGTGAATCTTGATCTTATAAACCGATTAATATCGACAACAACTAGTATCCTTTAAGACTTAGACAGTACAGAAAAGTAAGCCGTCAGAGTAACACAACCAGTGATAATTCAAAACAATCAATACCAAAAGTTCAATGACCATGAAAAGTCGGCTTGATGATAAAGACGAAAAGGCCAGCAAGTTGAGGAATAGTATTATGGGGCCGGGCCGCTGCATGGTAAAGAAGAATAAACACGCTGAAAAGCAATGGAAATGCAAGCGCGCGACCGAATATGTAGTGCTGAAAGAGGGTGCCGAAATCTCGCAGCCAGACTCGCAATATTGGGGTGAGATTTATACTAAACTCGTCAAAATCTCGCACTAATTGCGCGCGGCAAAGTTGTTATACTTTAACCACGTGATCTCACACCGCACTAAGTTCCGAATTTACAACTAGAATTTACAACTAGTATAAAGTGAGTTTCTACTGGACTTTATTGTTGATAATGGTCTGTTTGCGTGCAATACTGCGTTCCAACACAGAGCGAAGTATATTACCACCTGGAAGGCTAGATGTGTTCCCAAGGGCAGACCCCAAGAAAGATGGAGTGACTGTCCACGATGCAGACGGCAACACCTTAGGATCTGACTCATTAAAAGCAGAAGCTATTAAAGAATACTTTAATAATGAGTTCAATGACAAAGATGAACCCCACCTCCCAGCATTCATAGACCCTCCTGGAAGCCTCCTCTGTCCCATAACACCTGAAGAAGTTGGCCGTGCTGTTATGAAGCTGAAATCTGGTAGAGCGTGTGGCCCTGACGGTATACCTAATGAGCTAATGAAAGCTGCTGGATATCCCCTCCAATATGAGTTGGCTAGGATCTACAATCTCTCCTTTGAGACCAACACATACATCCCAGCTATTGGAGAAGGTATCCTGACACCCCTTCAGAAGCCAGGAAAACCCCGAGGTCCGGTTAAGTCTATCCGGCCCCTCACATTGCTAAATGGAACTCGAAAAGTCCTATCCCTCGTAGCCTTGAACAGAATCAATTACCACGTTGATATGTACACTGGACCTTGGCAGGCGGCATACAAGCAGGGTCGCAGTTGTGCTGACCTGGTTTGGTCTCAGAGAATGTTGACATCTGCATCAGGGCATATTTCAAAACTGGTTCCACTTGGAGGAAATTTCAGAAATGCTTTTATCAATCCAATTTTGGAAATTTTAGAATGTTTGAACTTTATACTTTGAAAATCTGCAATATTGGAGACATCAATCTACTCTATCATGCAAAAATAGCTCATTCTATCATCGACACTAAAACAATCCTCAAAAGTGTGCTCTACTTCATAACGTCTCTAGATTAGGCCTTTGCTTGAACTAAACCCAAATTTTGTGTGTTAGTATATGAGATTTCATTTTTACAGACTGATATAAAGCCCAATCAAGGAGAAAGAGCTAACATGGGGAAAATGTGGTTTAAAAAATTTTGTCCCTCCGTAACAAAAAAGTGTCAAAAAGTTATCTATTCTCTTAACTACACGCCTATTGCATTCCATATTTTCTGAAGTATCTCAGTGACCTTACACTAAGATTTTCCAACATTTTCGATTGATAACATTATAATTTAAGAGGAGATATGATGAGCCAAACTTTGGTCACTCCGTAACGCTGTGTTACGGAGTGACAAATTCAAGGGACATTGTCACTCCGTAACGAATTTTTTTATTGACATTTCAAGATTTACAGTTGTTATTGATCTGGTTTGTAATAATGATGCCAGATTGCATAATTCCTAGCTTGTCAGCTGACACCAATGTCGTGTATGTTGGAGATCTAGCCTCAGGTATGGAAGAGGAGTGCAGAAGGAAAGCAAGACCAGTTCCAGGAACCTTGAAAGTGCACCACATTGTCCGTTCTTTCAAAGATAACAGCTGCATCCTTACCTTTAGGGACACGTCAGTTGATGGATCTTTGATAAAGAAGAGAGAGTATGCCGATGAATCATCTGCTCAGACGACTTCAACAACAGTTATTGGAGAGGAGGAAACACCATCATCTTCTAACAGCTGTGAAACTTACAACATTGATCAATTCGTGATTGTTAACTGGGAGGGTGAACTTTACCCAGGAAAAGTTATTGGCAAGCCAGACAGCAGTAACCTTACCGTTAAGTGCCTTGTATCAGCTGGAAAACCTGGATCAATCTGGAAATGGCCTGACAAAGAGGACGTCCATGATAACGAACTTAGTGACGTGAAAGGAGCTATTGGTATGCCGAACCTTTTGCCGGGAACAGGGAGAAGAATAGAGTTTGAAGTACCTGAACTTGCTTATAAGTGGGGTGTAAAGGTTTGAATTTTCGTTAATCTGTGTACATTGTACAGTTTATTTGTTTATAACTTTAAACAAATAAGCCCAGATTTTTAAATATTTCATTATGATATGTCACTCTGTAACAGATTCTTAACCGAGTAATATTTGTAGAAAGTTAAACCAATGAGACTGATTTTTTGCAGTTGTTTATATTTTTCAAACAGTGATTTAAATGTGCTGTATTTTAAGGGAAATTTACAGAGTTGTAAGCTACAGGGTTGATTTTTTATCACATGATCGTATTTTTATTCATAATTGTGATCAAGACTAATGAATTGTACCAGATTTGATTTATTTCACATCAATAAATTTGTGTGTCTACCTTGTTTAAGTGTTATCTATCTAATTTTGAAAAGAATTCTACTATTTAGAGCTAGGAACAGGATGAAAAATGATGAAAAATTCGAGTGGAATGAGAGACTGTTTGATGCGTCACTCCGTAACAGTCACTCCGTAACAATCCCCAAAATTTTTGAAGCCTCAAATTTTTTATTCCTTAGGCAATACACACTTTTTCTTGATTAATTATTGAAGGAAAATGTCTGAAAAGTGCCTGGAAGCCGTCAAAATGCAACTTTCAAGAATATCTGAGATAAAAATTAGGTCAGAATATGCGTGTACCAAAATCTGAAAATTTATCTAGTCACTCCGTAACCAAATTTCGACTTTTAATTACTCAAAAACGGATTGATTTCTCACTATTTTCTTTGGCAGATATGTAAATCGTAGGTTTGAAAAGCATTAGAAACATAATTTAACCAATAATGAACCTGTTTTCTTGGACATTTTTCGGAAAAAATGGGTAAAATTGTCACACCGTAACATTCTATAGTTTTGAAATATGCCCATCAGTGGTTACCAGGCGCGAGTTTGAGTATAGTAAAATCAACATTGACATGACCGCTGCGTTTAATACCATCCGCAGACAGACCATCATCAACCTCCTCATTGATGCAGGATGCTCTAGAGACGACATTCGCCTGGTTCAGTACCTCCTCTCAAATACAAAGCTCAAGGTGACGGTCAACAGAGCTGAGTCTGGTGAATTCGTGATTAATATTGGAGCTTACCAGGGAGACAGTCTGGCAGGTAAAGTGTTTACATTGACCCTTGCCGGTGCCCTGAATCACATCAGAGCCGTGATCAGTGTCACAATTCCTAGACCAAACCCCCCAGTCTCTGATAGAGGCCTCCCGTTAGAGTCCGCCTATGCTGACGATGCTGAGCTTCTGAGTGAAGATGGTCAGAGTCTGGTGAAGATACTAGAGATTGCCAGTGACATACTAAAGGACTGGAGCCTCTTTGTTAACGAATCAAAGACGGTGTTTACAAGAGTGTATTTGGCAGAGACAGATGCTTTGGATGCCCATGGCAATAAAATCAGAGGAAATGAAGAGTGGCGAGAGTCAGTGCTATTAGGATCAAAGCTCTGTTCAAAAAGAGATATTGTCAGCAGACGCAACAAAGCCAATGTTGCCTTCTACACCTACAAGAAAGTCTGGTTGAATAGTTCTGTTCAGATCAGTGAGAGTAGAAAGCTGAAGTTGTACGAAGCTCTTGTCACTTCAGTGTTGTTGTATAACTGTAGCAGCTGGGCTGCTCCTGAAACCGTAATGGCATCTGTCGACGTTCTTCAAAGGAAGCATCTGAGACAGATAATCAACACCTATTGGCCTACGGTTATCAGTAACGAGAACTTATATAAGAGATGTAATGTCAGTCCTCTTACTATAAGGATCAAGAAAGCAC